TTTTAGATGGGTGTTTATTGCAGATTCAGAAGCTGTGAGCAGAGAAATAAGAGCATTGTTAGTTTAGACAGCATTGATTGGATGTAAACAGGTACTGACTACAGATTCCTATCATTCTAAAGACTAAACAGACTTTAATCTGTCCCTATGACGTCCCTGCCTGTCTATAATGAGGACTTTCACATGCAAATAGTGTAAAGCTGTGTGATTATTCTTGTGCTGCACACATGTGGAGGATTTGTAAAAGCTTTGCCTTAAGCTCTGCATTTGGGGGAATCTTCTTGCTGCAGTGGCTAATGGTGAGTACTAAAAATGCCTTTTGAAAAGTCATAAAAAATGATTTCAATTGCTAATTAAAATGCATTGTAGCCATCATGTAAATCATAAACAAATTGTAAACTATAAGATAATTACAAGTACTATGTTTACAAGTCTTATATTCAACCCCCCTCAAGGATTATCATCTCTGCGCCATTTTTAAACAATTTGACGGTCATACAGCACTGTAGGTATTTTTTAACTGCTTGAGTTTATATCATTTTTGTATTTATTTTATTATATTTGTTTATATTATTTGTATTGCTCATTCGTACTTCAACTTCTCGTGTGTTTATACATATTTGTATTTATTTAATGTTAAAATGAAGCAACTGTCACAAAACCATATTTAAATAAAGTATTCTGATTCTGATATTATTTTCAATATGTGTTTGAGAATATGTATTGTAAACAGCACATGTATCTACAGTTTAAATCATAAATACATAATGAATTTAATACATTATGCAAACAATAATTTACACAGAGGGTTGAGTCACATTGAGAGATGTGGGTTTAAATATGTAATTGCAGAAACTTGAACGGCCACAGAGACTGCAGCAATAATGAATCCATTTCACTTGCTACTGAGAATCCAGTCAATTTCCACCACCTATAAATTAGATAGGAAATGCACCTGTCACTCAATCTGTCTCTGTGATGACATGGTTTGTTATAATGAGGCAAATCTTCATAGACAATTTAATTTACTATTTTTGCATGTACTTGATATTGTGTATGATTTAGAAGAAGCACTCAGCTGAAAGAAGAGGGGTGACTTGTTTTTATTATTGTTTCCCTTTATTATGCATCATAGGCTTAATTAAGTATGATTGTCATGTTGAAGGCAGGAAGGTTCACGGTGTGTGTACACAGCATGTGTGAAATGCCCTCAGGGATTTAGAGGATGTGTTGCATATTAAAAACACTTAGGATGCCTATTTTTGTAATACTTCACGAAAACACTGTTCTTCAATTAGTTACCAAAGAACAAGAGCTACAAAGCACTGCAGTGTTGGGCTTGGTAGGATTATACCACAAAATAGCAATTGACATTAGCAATCAATAAGAAATATTTACAACTGAGTTAGATAAATAAACAAGATGGGGAAGTCCGAATGAGAAGCAGGATACTTTTGGGTTTCCTGACAGTAAATCCATTCTAAAATGATACAAAATTAAAGGGATATAAAAAAGTAATACTAGAATAGAAATATGTATATTAACTCAAGAAGGTCAAGTAGTGCAATACACATACAAATAAAATAAAGATATTATATAATAATAATAAAAAATAGAAAGATTCAACCTAAAAATAAAATAGTATAGCAATATTTTTACATAAGAAATTAAATGACATGTATACAGTGGTGTATTATATGAATTTGATAATAATGCTGAATTGCAGTGTTTAAAAGGGTTTGACAAATTAAGTGTCATAAAAAAGGGCAAAGTTATCATCTACCGTTGTCGTCCATAACTTACCAGAAACTATTTATTGACACTGTAGTCAGGCACTGGTTAACTAACATAGTCTATTCAGCTATTCCCTGACTTTCTCCTGATTGCTTTCTTATCTTGGACACTATGGGAGGTATGACAGGCAGACCAATCCATCAAATTCAGCTAACTTGATTAAATCTGAAGAATAATTTGTTTGGATCCGATCCCCTGCAGGTCAGCAACATGGCTCACAGATTGAACACAGACATTTGTTTCTGTGTCAAGATTAGTTGTTTTATCCAAAGCCTGAGTTGAGATGTTCTTAAAGTTGTCACCAGAAGACGCTTCACTCCAGATTCCCGGTGCTCCTGATGGTTCTGGGGCACGGAGCCAGGTTAAGGGCCGGTGTTTGTGGCGGAGAACGAGGTGGCAGCTGGTGTGTGGTCTGGCAGCAGGGCGGGCTGTCTGCCTGGGGATGTGATTGACGGATGGGTAAAATAGTGAACCATGTCTGCAGAGTCCCCGCCGCGTGATGGATGGAGGTGTGACCGAGGAGCACCACAGCACATTTGGATCACTCAGGGTTTTAAAAGTGGATTGACAGACGAGGTGGAGGCACTGATTCTGCCAGATAATGTTTATCAAGTGCTGGGTCTTAATCATGTACATGTTTCAAAGGGTAAATGAGAATCAAAACATTTTGTTAACATTTTTTGAAACAATATGCTGGTTCACATCATGTACTGAGTCCGAAGTGCTGTCAAAAGACCGTTTTGGAGACAGCAATAACAACATAAATAAAGATCAGACGAAGAGTGTGAGGCACATTAATCCACACACATAATAGATAACAAAAACATGATAACAACTGCATTTATCACAAGAAATAACACTCTTTTTACAGCGTGTTAACAAGTCCAACACATACGTGATAGGATAAGGGGCGGGACATCTCTAAGCGGTTGACCAATCACAACAGAGCTAACCAATCAGAGCAGATTGGGCTCTGGTTTCAGACAGAGGGTGAAAAGACGTGCTGCAGCACAGGCAGTATGAGAAAAGTAATAATATGTCATCTGCACTTTTGAATGTTTTTAATTGCCTGATTTGATATCATTGCATACTGAAAATGTTTTTGTTCAACCACTGAAAGCACTTCCATTGCAAGCATAATGCCTCTTTCTAAAAATACTTTCCTCAGTCTTGGGCACATTTATTTCAGTATTTGTCTTCTTAAAATAACCAACAGGTGATCAGTTAAGCACCTTTACACAGCAAGACTGGCTTATCTATAGCCAGTTGAGTAGCACTTGAAATGTTTGGCTCTATGAAACCTGATGTACTTATATGATTCTGTTTTCTTCAAGGTTGTATCTTCCTGGTCGAATGTACTTATTGTAAGTCGCTTTGGATAAAAGCGTCAGCTAAATGTAATGTAATGCCCTTTCAGTCAAAAATCACAAGACAAGGATACAATGGATAAGATCACAAGACAGTGTGTGGCTCAAGAAGACCTAGGTAATATCACTCAAAATCTCAGAGCAGCAACCCACTTCAAATGCCAAAATATGACTGGCTGGCTGTACAAGTACACGAGGAGTTCTATTTGTCACAAACATTGAGAGTTATAAAAGTAAAGTGTGTGTGTGTGTGTGTGTGTGTGTGTGTGTGTGTGTGTGTGTGGATCTTACCTTTTAGAAGTGTTTCTTCCTTGCCCTTTTCGTTGCAAAGTCTGTGATAAGTTGTCATCAAAATCCTAACATTGCTCGCTAGCTCAACAACATCCTCAGGCTACGTGATTGTTCCTTGTGGTTGCTGGCCTAATTCGTCACTTTTAGCTTTAAAAAAAAAAGAAGCTATTTATTGTTGCAAAATGCTTTGATGCAGCCGCCACTCTCTTCCTTTTCTTTCTTTTTCTTTCTTTTTTCGCTAATAAAATGTATGATGAGTGAGGTTGTGCCAAAAACAAAAATGTTCTTGTCACTGAGGGCCCTCTCTTGCTCAAGGGCCCCTGGGCACATGCCCAGTGTGCCCATATAGTTAATCCGGCCTTGAGGATCCTTCAACTCTGAAGCAAGAGCCTTTGCACATGAGAGAAAATACTTTTAACATGTTATGGCCACAGAAAAGACAATCCAGACCCAGTAGACCCTTTCCCAGAGATCTACCTGAGCCCAGGGCTCGGAGAGCTGACCGGCCCCCTGCTCAAGGTCACAAACCTCGTTCAAATGACAATACACAGAGCTGACAAAAAAATACTTAACATGAACATTGTGAAAAGCATAAATAAAAATGGACTGAAGGACAGGGCCTCCACTGTGTGGAGCACCAGACTGGATGCAGGAAACAGACCAGGCCCAGTGGAGGATTCTATATTAAACCTCCCCTCAAAAAATTGACTGCCAGCCTCCAGTGGAGAATTTGACACGGTGCGATAGCCTCCAATTCTTTTATTTCTGTTATTAATCCTGCTGTTCTCAACAAATATCCATTTTGTGATTTCAGAGAGACTGTTTTTCATGTTTTTACAGAGTGCAAGAGACTCACGGGTTTTTCTTTCTTTTAACATTGTTTTTTAGTCTTGTAGTGTAGTTTTTACCTAGAGCGTTTTTATCATTGGAAAAGTGGCAGCTCCTAAACTTCCTCTCAGGTGAAGCAAAAAGGGCAATTTATTTAGGCAGAAAAAACTGAGTTTAACCTGAGTGGAAAGAAGAGAAGGGCAAGAGGCAAAAGCGATCTGGCTGTGTAACATCAGAGCCAGACTCTGGCTGTGTAACATCAGAGCCAGGAGCAGAGGTTTTAGAAACACATTGGGGATTTAGACCCTTTTAAACAGCGTTGGTGCTTCAAATACTTATGTTCTGTTTTAAATGATGAACGGCACTTTGCACAAGTTTTAATTAGATCATTTTTTATTAATTATTTTAAGTAAAATCGATTATTTGCACAATTAAGCACTTTATTTGAAGTATATGTACAATTGTTGAATGTGTAAATAAAGTGTTTTTAGCAAAGTCAAAAAACTATTTTTCTGCTTCTCCTTTTTCTTCAGTGGGACAGGCTTGTTTGACATAAGGTATTGATTGATTTGCAAAAACATTAAAGCATCGTAGTCTCATGTAAGTAGGGGGAATGTCTGTGATACACATTTAACAGTTTGGTTCCCAGGTTCATTGATGGATGACTGTCATAATATTTATTGCAGAGTCACGGATCAATCGATAGTTTGGCGTTCGATTTCTAGAGTTAACGCATGCGCACAACCTGCCCTTCCTTTCTGCTAGCTTCTCCGCCATGGCGCCTATTGTAAGTAAAGTCGCGTGTTAATTAATCCACCCAAATTGTGTAATTTCGGTTGTGAAAGCCAGATTAAACAGTCGGGACGAGATGGGAGTTTTTGTATAACACCCATGGTCCGAAGAAAGGCTTTGTGCGTTGCTCTAAAGTGTTTTATTAGCACATAGGTGGCCTATATATGCGGGTTAGCTAACGTTAGCTTCATAGCTTCGGAAGGACTAGCTCACCACGTTGTTGTGTCAGTGTGGCCGTCCGGAGCACTGTGACACATATTTAGTTTAACAACTTGAACAAATGGTGTAGTTGTAGAAGAGACTTGTATTTCCCGCTAGCGAGTTAATAGTTGTGTTGTTGCTTGGTCACCTGAACGCTAAAGCTGGTGTTGTGGCCATGCGGAAGTCTTGAAATGTAATAATCAGAAGTAATTATGTTAAAAAATATGTTGAAGTCAACAGCAGGCCTACATGGCACAGCAATAGAAGTCATAAACATCATCTTTATTTGCAGGGTGCCTACGGGTGCTGAACATATTAAAACACTTGTGTGGTGTTTTCTATGTTTTTAAAAGTCTTTTTAAATGAAGGGCTTGAATGGTTGGTAACATACGATCTCTAGTCATGCATCATATGATATGCACCATACCTTGAAACGTCAAACTACTTGTTTTACTTGAATGTGTGCCCTTGTGTAGGGTTCTCTAACCAAACATAAGTAGGGTTGTGTGATGAGGAAGAGAAAAATACATTGTGAAAAGTTTAGTTGTGTTATTTAGACTAAACATTCTGCCATGTCAAGTTGAGTGTTTTGTGTTTTATTAAGCAGAAAAAGCAGATCACCGGCAAAGGTGGTAAGAAGAAAAAGCAGGTCCTGAAGTTCACCCTGGACTGCACCCACCCTGTGGAAGATGGTATCATGGACGCAGCCAACTTTGTAAGACACCCTCTTTAGATGTTCTCAATGTGCAGCTGTGATGTGTAGCAGTCTTTATACCACTAATAAGATGTCTGCTGACTCGCCCCAGACAGGAAGAAATTAAACTTCAATATGAAAGTCTTAAAATGTGATTATTAATCGCCCCCGTGAACATGTGATATTTGCCAAAACATTGCTGATGAAGCATTGAAATCTCAGAATAGTGTACAGCCGCTCAGTGATGTGAGGTTTTCTCTAACGTGTTGTTCACAGGAGCAGTTTCTTCAGGAGCGTATCAAAGTGAATGGGAAAGCCGGTAATCTGGGTAACGGTGTGGTCTCCATCGAGAGGAACAAGAGCAAGATCACAGTCTCCTCTGAGGTTCCCTTCTCCAAAAGGTAATCAGGCACTCTGTTACCTATATGGTGTACTGCTTTGTGGACATTTTATAAACTGAACTAATGAGTGGTGCAGGGATTAGTCCTTAAATCCTGGAAATGAGTCAGCATTTCACCACTGAAGGGAATTAAATAATAGTATGGAAATAAGACCTGTGGTTGAATCAAGCTGGAGAGAACACATTTTGTCCTACAACATAAGCATGTCAGTCAGCGTTTCCGCCAGGGGGGCGTCTTGCCGTCATTTGACGCCCTTATTCAGCTCTGGACTTCCTGAACTCGAGCCGAGGACGTCCAAAAATATTAATAATTTGAGAGAAGATCGAGAGTTTTTATCGCTTGAAATGACGAAAAGGAAAAAGGACAAGGACATTCATCTGTTGGAGGGGCAAAGGGGTCTGGTGGGATTATTTTCGGAGTATTGAAGATCGTTTCCCCGACATTGGCGGAACGTGCGCGATTTGGACGCGATGAGCGGTGCTAGTGGAGCACGCGCGTGAGCTGCGAGCACCAGACCCTCGCAGCGGCAAAACTGAGGCTCCGTGGTAAACTGTGGTAACATGAAGAGTCGTTTGGGAGCCGAAACAGCCGGCGCTTTAAGAGAGCCGAGCCAAATCATCATAAGAGCACATAAAGACTTTTCACCGTGCATTATAATGGCAGGGTGTCCGCGGGGTCTTAAAAAGTATTAAAAGTTGATAAATCAATTTAGCGAAAATTAAAGCTATTAAAAAGTATTAAACGGCATTTTGCAAGGTATTAAGAAGTCCCACAGCAACGACAACATGAAACACCCTTTAATTTACTGAAACGACATGTCGGGAAACCCCCTCAAGGCGGCCCCATGCATAGCGCGCCGTAAAATGCTGCTTCTTATTTTAAGTTTCGTTGCCTGCTCCGCTCTGTGGGGTGGGGTCCCAAGGTGGGTAGACCGGCA